GAAACTGAAAAGTTAACTTTTGGCTTAATTCCGGTTTCGGCCGAAAGAGAAAAGCGATATTTGAGAACAAACTAAACGATATTTAACAACAAACTAAGTGACATTTAAGATCAAACTAAACGATCTTTAAAACAAACTAAGCGATCTTTAAGAACAATCTAAGCGATCTTTAAGAACAAACTAAATTATTTTTAAGAACGAACTAAATGATCTTTAAGAACACAACAAATTATCTTTAATAGTAAACTAAATGATTTATAAGAATAAACTTAGCGATCTTTAACAGAATGTCCTTTAGGAAAAGATCTTTAAGAACAAACTAATCGATCTTAAGGAACAAAATCAATTATCTTTAAGAACAAACTAAGCTATCGTTATGAAAAAACTAAGCGATCTTCAACAACAAAATATGTGATCTTTAAGAACATCCTAAAGGATTTTTAATAACAAACTAAATGATCTATAAAACCAAACTAAATGATCTTTAAGAAAACGAAGCGATATTTAAGAACAAAATCAATTATCTTTAAGAACAAACTAATCGATACTTTATGAACAAACTAAACGATCTTTTAATAACACAAACTAAGCAATCTTTAAGAAAAAACGTAGTGATTTTTTTTTGAACAAACTAAATGATATTTAAGAACAAATTAAAAGATCTTTAAACAAAAACTAAGCGATCTTTAAGAACAAACTAAGTGATCTTTAACAACAAAGTAACCTATCTTTATGAACAAACTAACCGATCTTTAAGAACAAATAAAGCGTTCATTAACAAAAAACTGAACGATCTTTAACAACAAACTAAGCGATCTTTAAGAACAAACTAAACGATCTTTAACAACAAACTAAGCGATCTTTAACAACAAACCAGGCAATCTTTATGAAAAAACTAACTGATCTTTAAGAACAAATAAAGCGATCTTTATGAACAAACTAACCGATCTTTAAGAACAAATAAAGCGATCATTAACAAAAAACTGAACGATCTTTAATAACAAACTAAGCGATCTTTAAGAACAAACTAACCGATCATTAACAACAAACTGAACCATCTTTAACAACAAACCAGGCGATCTTTATGAACAAACTAACCGATCTTTAAGAGGTTGAATATTATTACAGTGATATCTTGCAAGCTATTAATGAAAACACAAAGCATTAGTGTTTCGAAAATAGTGAAACATTGTGGTGATATTTTATAGCCTCAATAACTTATATTTACGTGGCAATTGGCGCTATTAGAGCAACAATAATTGTTGTTGGTATATGTTCTAGATTGTAATTATATTATAAAAGCAAAGGCTCTCAAGAGTCTATGTTGCATTAATTTTGCCCCCCCCCCCTTGTTTCCCATTTTTGCCAAATTTTCTCCTACCATACTAATTTTAAAAAAATTATGAAGTAATTTAAATTACTTTTATATTACTTTTATATTAAAGTATTCATTAGATCAAGGGTCTCAAACTTAAATCATCAAGGGGGCCGCAGGAGGTAGTGTCTGAGTGAGAATGGGCCGCATCAAGTATTCCAAAAAAAAGCGATTACAACTGTTACAATCTGCTCAACCTTTATAAATAACAATAAAAACATTAAGGGTGCTCAAGAACTAGGCTTCACTTTCTTCCACCTCCTCACTGTGGCCAGAGACCTGGCAGCGCTTCTTTTTACACAGCTGAGCAACTTTGGCTTGAGTGAGGAAGCAACTAAGACTCTCAGTATAGCTTGAAGATCCTCATCAGTAAGTTTGGTCCTGAACTTTGACTTGTTAAAGTGCATAGTGGAAAAGAGCTATTCACATAGATAGGTACTCCCAGAAATTCGTATGTTCCGCTTGTACAACCTAAAAGTTTCAGGGAATGTGGAGGGCAATGCAATAAAATGTCCATTTTCGGTTTCGGCTTCGGCTTCGGCCGAAAGTCATTTTTAAACTTTGGGCCTATTTTCGGTTTCGGACGAAAGTCATTTTAAACTTTCGGCCTATTTTCGGCTTCGGCCGAAATCAGAAAATCAATTTCGGTCGGTCTCGTATTCATTCATTTTGATTTATCATTATCGTGCTCATAAATTTTATCATAGACAGAGATAAATAATGCGGAGAAACTTAGGTTTCCAAACTACACATTCGTTTGTTTGACTTCAATTACTAACCAATTAACACTGAACTAACTACTATATGTCAATTAACGACTCTTGATGCAAAGTTCGGTTCGTAATGATTATTTCTAGATTACGGATTACTTACTAATTATTTAAGTATTGTTGATAATGATGAAGGTTTTTTTTTGATTGCACATTGTTTCACGGTAAAGTTTCTAAATCGTGTGCTTGTTTATATATATTTCGGTTTCGATGTCGGCCGAAAGTCTCGTTTAGTCATTGGTTTCGGTCGAAGTCATTTTTAACTTTCGGTTTTGTTTCGGTTTCGGCCGAAACGAGAAAAATCACGTTCGGTCGGTCTCTACGTTTAGGGAATAGCTTCGTTTACTCCCAGTTTGAGAACTGCTCTAATATTTGTGATCAAGACGCGGATAAACCCACTTGGATCAATGAGCACATATATAGAGTGTGTGAATCGGTGAGGTGGTCTTTTGGTCAGTTTGGGTTAGCATGTTTGCACTGCAAAGATCCGTGACCCAAGAGGATCAGTGAACCCATAGAGTGAGTGAATCGGTGAGGTGGTCATTTGGTCAGTTTGGGTTAGCATGTTTGCACTGCAAAGATCCGTGAAAGTCGTAAAAATTAATTTGGTATTTGGGACATGGTCGGGGGTGAGGACCACTGACATGTGCCGTGCTAACGAGTGCAAAGATAAGGTGGTGTCTTACCACGATTGGCGGATATATTGGACCTGCTATCTCCTGAGAAGAACATTTTTTTTTATAAGCAAACACCAAACACCATAAATTCGAGGCAAAGATGTGACGAGTAGAAATGGTGTGACACACACGCAGCTTTAACTCAAATATCCATGCAGATTAAGTCTTGATAAATTGATGCAGTCACCGACATCGACAACATCTTGTTAGCTACACATCAGAGTCGCCCATAGACCTCTACTCGTGTCTTGTTTTTAAATCGTGCGTGTTCCTGTCTGTCAATGTTTATAATTACGTCATACATGGAGTGTGTTTGAAGCTAATCTTGTTATTTGGAGCCGTTGTATTATCGAGGGGGAAAAGGTTTGATGGTTTCACTTTTCTGTGGGTTTTTTCTTATACGTCTGCTACAGGCCACCATCTTGATAAACAATGTGATTCAGCTGTCTTTAAAAAAAAAATAATAATAACAAATTGTTACATGCCTAATACTACTGATAGTGACATTCAATATTTTTTTTAGATTTATGTTCTAAATTCTTTTATCCCTATTTTTGTTTCACTGCGCATGAACCGAATCTCTCAGTCAGATCCTCCCGAAATCCCGGTCTCGCTCGATGTTAAAAGTAGCTGTTAGAATTATAAGCTCGTAATTCCAAAAAGCCCCTTGCCTCCCCATCAATAAATTGATAGTCATTGCTCGCGATCAGTTTAAGATGCTCGATGGTGGCCGGAGAGAGCTGTAGCCGGCAAGGGCGGCCTGCAGATAGAGGCAACATACTGATTGATTTATTGAGTGTGTGAAGCAACGCCTGGGAACAGCTGTTGCATGGATATAACAAGTGGCGTCTCCAAGGGGGGGGGTGGTCCCTGGCGTATGGTGTGCATGTCAAAGACTAATAGTTTCTGAGGATATCTCTAAGTTCTAACGAAAGCAGAACATGTGTTATTACGGTATAGTGTGGCAATATTATTTATACATAGATGATGAAATCCTGATGACATGGGGTGGCCCCCAGCCATGACGATTTTCTGTATACGCCACCGGTCGGACTCGAATTCTCAGGACATTCATCAACAACCCGGGGATTACGCCCTGCTGCTCAGTTTGATGTCTCAACTGTTCGGGAATGTATCAATTATATGTAACGTGCTTTTAATGGATAAGCCGCGCCCGTGGATACATTGTGTTATCAGTGGATACATTGTGTTATCTGTGGATACATTGTGTTAGTTTAGACTTCTACATGGCGTTTGTGTGAGGCACATTTCCGGCCAGATAGCGCGATAATCTCCAACACCAATACGCGATGAAATCAAATCTGACAGAACCGGGTGTTGGACACACAGAACCGGGTGTTGGACACACAGAACCGGGTGTTGGACACACATAACCGGGTGTTGGACACACACATAACCGGATGTTGGACACACAGAGTCGGGTGTTGGACACACTTAACCGGGTGTTGGACACACATAACCGCGTGTTGGGGACACACATATTCGGATGTTGGACACACACAGAATCGGGTGTTTGACACATCGTAACGATTGTTCGACATTTCCTATGTTTACTGTTGTCTCATCGAGGCGTCTGTGTTTAGGACCAACCATCAGATCAACAAATATTTAAATAATGTTCATGTGACGATCAACTCTTCCATGATTTGTGCTTGAAAATATAGCATTCTAAAGTATATGTAAATTCATGCGCTTTTTAAACAACAAATTCAATATTATCTAGCAAGCAATGACATTTAAACGTATTGATGAATTCAGCATCTCTCGCCGTCCACCGATCATTAACACCATCAGCCATAATCATGATCCAATGTTAACATTGTCAGCGTGGCACACGAGGGTTCATCCCAGTAATTAACGTGTGTTCAAATGACCACCAACACACAGCGAGGTGTTCAAGTTTTAGTCACGACTTGCAGCAACGTTATGTCGGGAAGTTATATTGTTTTACTGCATGTGTTATATAAAAATTTAATAAATCTGCCGGAAGTTCTTCCTAATTTTATTGATTCGTTTTAAAACATTTCGTCACTTTTTGCTTCAAATTCCCAGCTTTTAAAGACTTGTTTTTGGTCGTTTGTTCGGAGAGTATTGGATCTAAAATGACGTCATCAAAAACTGTGCACATTCTTCCAGTTGGATATTTCGTCTTCGCTACTTAAGTCATGTGTGAGTCATTCGTGTGCATTCATTCAAGTGTTGGTAAGGAATTATTGCATTGACACACACACACGCTCAGCGGAGCACAGTGTCCATATAAACAATGAGTAAGCCCAACAACATTTTGCGGCGAAAGTCGTCACTTCAGATCAAAGAACGACAGCTCGCGGCTGCACGCGGTGACCCCAGCCAGGGAAGGTTCCGATACCTTGAGGAGCACGATCCAGCACGTGACAGTAGCAGACGGCCACCCGAAACTGCAGGGGTTGTCGTAGATCGTCAGGCGCTCACCAGCAGTATCAGTCCCGACACTGAGCGAACTTCACGGGCCCCAGGCCGGCCTGATGATGCCGGTAGGGTGTGTCGCTCATCTTCCGCAGAGATGGCCGTGGATAAGTATCGCGGCGGTGGTGCCTTCCGATCTGGTGACGACGAGGCCCCGAAACGAACCACGGCGGCTGCCGCGCAACTGACAAGACCCATGCTGGTCAGACAAAACAGCTACGAGCTGGACTTGGCCGAACTGAAGGCATTCTACCACCAGCAGACGGCGACTGGTCTGATGGCACCACGTCGTCCCGTCGTGCAGCTCGACCGGATGGCTGCACCACGAGAGTACGACCGAGTGAGGGAGTGGTTGCACAGGAGTGACTTTAGTCAAGATCCAGACGGAGTCGGAGTCAAGCGGGAAGGAGAACACGGAACCACCGGGACGAGCGCGAGGTCCGAAGCTGGTCAAAGAACCCAATCTTTCCTTGCCCCTCCCCCGCCACCACCACTGCCCGTTCCTGTCCAGAGATCTGCCAGTTTGCGCGAGCCGTCTCCTAGACCAGACCGCCAAGCGGTGAGCGTGCAGCAAAACAACGCACGCCCCGACGGCAGGACGGCCCTGATGCAGGAGCTCCGAGAGAAACTCCAGTCACGTGACAGCCAAGGACACGACCCGGGCGATACGTCTCGTGATGCGAATCTCAACGACGTGGGGCGGATCACAGAAACAGGCCCCAGCACTGTTCGCGGTGCCCCTCGTTCTGAAGACGGTACCAGGCGTCCAACAGGATCTCAGGTGCCAGGTCTGAAATCGCAGGCGTCTGCCAAGTACGGATCTTTTTTGTCCGAGCTGAATGCCACCATCTCTCGAGCGCCATCTCACCGGTCAGTCTCGAATCAGAAACCAACCAATTTTTTGAACAGCTCTGACGGGCCATCCCTGCCACCTGCAAACCCCATGTTAGAATTCGCTGATGAAAATAATAAACATGCAAGTAACCCACCTCCACCAGGTAACCCACCTCCACCACCCCCTCTTCCACTAAATAACTTACCTCCACCACCACCTCTGCCTCTTCCACCAAATATACCACCTCCACCACCCCCTCTTCCACCAAATATGTCCCAACCCCCTCTTCCACCAAATATACCATCTCCACCACCCCCTCTTCCACCAAATAGCAGACCCATGCAACCCAGTCTGTCGACAAACTCATCCCAAACTCCTCCACAACCAAAACCAATTTTTCCACCCGCATTTCCCTCATCCAAGTCCTTACAACAGTCACCGCCCCAACCTTCTGGCTCAGTCCACCCTCAGCCATCCTTTCCAGCCCCACCCCTGCCGACGATCATCTTACCTGAAATCAAGTCCGACTTACCTGTACCTGATACACGGTCTCATTTAATGGCCACCGAACACGCCGTATTGACCACTGGTCAGCCCGGCTTTCAAGGTCAGCGTCTAGACGTTTCGCGTTTGACCCCCACCAGCGTGAATGAATCACTATTATTTCTCCACTCGCCACCCACGCCCGCGATACGGCTGGGAGGTCTACAGGTCAGTGAGTCATCTCACCCATTCACACCCTTGCATTCCACGGTGAGGCGAAACGAGGGTGTCAGCCCCGAGACTACTTCCAGCGGGTCAACGCCCCCGGGCGCCACCGTCACCAAACCCAACCCGCCGCTGGAGCAGGCTGGAGTAAGCCCTCGTCTCAACTTCGACCCGTTGGGACACACCTCTGGCTTGGAATCTGCCGCGTCGACCAATGTAGAACAAAGCGGGACAGCTGAGGAGGACGACAGAGCCACAGGTAGTGGGGCCCGCGACGAGTGCAATACGATAAACAGGACACACGAGCAAAGGGGGGCTAGTGTAGTGGGTAGAGAGGGCCAAGGGAGGCGATTCGATCATGGGCAAGCAGATTTAACAATAAGTTTCGACAACTCGAGGGAACATTTATTTCAGAACCAGGAGGTTACTCGTGGCGGTGGTGCTGATATTTCTCCACAAAGAGAGATTATCCATGTTAATTTTCCAGGAGATTCTTGGTTTTCATCCCTGGATAAGTCCAGCTCCAAGGATCAGGTTGGAAGTGAACACACCATCGAACTCGATTCGCTGCGGGTCGGTAATGGGGTCAGTAGTGACTGGTCATACGGCAGCGGCATTCCGAGGCCCATACCTAACAGCCCAAACGCACCGTGCCCCGCCGCTGTAGGCAGTGGCGATAGCGTTCTAGGCCCAGGTGACAGCAACGAGTCGCCGGGTCCACCGTCACCTCTGCGGTCAGCGAAGCGTACGCACGGCGCTAATCAGCCACCATTCTCGCATCAGGTGGGGTTAATTAAAGCCACCGGCGAGACCTCGGAGAACGGAAATAAGGAAGAGAGTGGTCGCGACAAACTAGGTGACCACGAGAGAGGTACGGGACACGGACCAGGCGAGAACGGCGGTGTGTCGTTATTATTAGGCGTGCAGGGGAGTGATGTGTTAGGCCGCGAGTGTTCTAGTTATGGATATAACAATTCTGTTGACACCGCGCGAGGACTGGGCGAGGGAATCAACAGCACCAGAGGCCTGATCCAAACAACTGAAGTGACAGCTCTTCTCAGCCAGGATTTTATCACCGAGACACGAGTGGTTTACGACAGCCTGCGTACAGGAGGAGGCACCCGTGTTGTACCGTACACATCTTTCCCACGAAAACTGGTGAGTGTCACTTCTTTTACCGACAACACCAGTGGTGACCAAGTTGTTGCAGACACCGGCCGGTCATTAGATGACCAGTCCGACCGGACATTAGATGACCCCGCGCCTGAACAGGTCAGGAGTGTTGTGCTCGACAACCATCTATCCGACTGGGACGCCGGCTCCTCGTCCGGATCGGAGCACGACTACCACAGACTGAGATCCCTCGCAAACAGCAACGAGTCGCTCACGGCCGTCTTCAGCCGACACGCGACGTTGCCGTTGAAGTTAAGAGCAGACCGGACTCTGACCGGAAGTCATCACAATCTCGACGTCCAGCAGGACGATTTTCAGCACCTCGCGTCATCTCAGTCTGCTCCAAACTCGTCTCGGCGACATAAACCGAAATCCGGGGTGAAGTTCTTGGCGAGGGCATTTTTCAAAGACAAATCCGAGTCCATTTCAGACGTCACCTACGAAATTACCGAAACTCGTTTCGTGAATAGTCTCGACGACATTAAGCCCGATGGCGCCGCCTCGTCCCGAGCAAAACACTGGCTTGCTTCTGATGGGCGCGATGTAGCTCGTGGTCAGTCCCGTGTGGCAGGCGCACCAACACACACAGATACGCAAAACGACGACGCGATGTTGAGCAGTCGCAACCACGACCACGAACTGTTGCCGCCGTCGGCCCTGGGCCCCCACGACGGCAGGAGCGGTCACTACGCCACTGGATCCCTGGCCAGGTCAAAGTCTCTCTTCTCCAGCACCCCTTCCCTTTTCGTCAAGTCCACGCCGGAGGATAAATTCTGGAAGAAAGAGATGAAGAGGGAAAAGGAGGAGAGGAAGAGGCTGGAAGAGGAGAGGAAACGTCGCGAGAAGGAGGAGAAGAAGAGGCTGGAGGAGGAGAAGAAGAGGAGGAAGATGCTAAAAAAATCAGCGACCGTGTCTGGGAAAAATTCGCCTCGGGACAGAACCTACGTCATCCGGCCTATAGAGAATATTTATTCCCAGCCTCAGTTCCGGATGAGGGCCGTCCACATCGACTACCAGGATGACCCCCGGCTGCCGCCCCCGCATCAGCCGCCACCCCCGCCCCCTGGACACTACGCCACCGCGAGGATGGCTCTGCGGGACGGGTACAGCATCTACGCCAGCACGCCCGACATGGCTCGCGTGGAGCAGGTGTACGGCACCACCACCCGGCGCCCCACTCCGGTCGTCCCGCCCAGCTCACACTACGCCGCGCCGTACGGATATGTCGATGCTCACACCAGGTCGGTAGTCCAGGGTCGCATGACCTACGTGTTGTGCCGTCTGTTGTTTGTTTACGTGTTCAGTGAACCGTGGCTCCCACTTGCCGGTGCCATAGGATGATGGGAGATTAGGAACAAAATCAATTATACGAGGCTAGTTAAATAAACTTAAGACCACCCCTGAGAGGAGTTTGCTATAGTTAAGACCAGTCGTAAGAAAGAGTTGACGTATGTATTATAGTCACGACCTGCCCGTGGTTTGTTCGTTCCTGCTTGTGCTAAGAGTAAAGTATTAAATGCCCTTCACACGCACCCCCCCCCCAACTCCACTCTTTTTCTATAATGGTATTCATGTACTGTAATGCTATTCATGTACTGTATTGTTATTCAGGTACTGTATTGTTATTCATGTACTGTATTGTTATTCAGGTACTGTATTGTTATTCAGGTACTGTATTGTTATTCAGGTACTGTATTGTTATTCATGTACTGTATTGTTATCGTTATTCATGTACTGTATTGTTATTCATGTACTGTATTGTCAGGTACTGTATTGTTATTCAGGTACTTTATTGTTATTCAGGTACTGTATTGTTATTCAGGTACTGTATTGTTATTCAGGTACTGTATTGTTATTCATGTACTGTATTGTTATTCATGTACTGTATTGTTATTCATGTACTGTATTGTTATTCATGTACTGTATTGTTATTCATGTACTGTATTGTTATTCATGTACTGTATTGTTATTCATGTACTGTATTGTTATTCATGTACTGTATTGTTATTCATGTACTGTATTGTTATTCATGTACTGTATTGTTATTCATGTACTGTATTGTTATTCATGTACTGTATTGTTATTCATGTACTGTATTGTTATTCATGTACTGTATTGTTATTCATGTACTGTATTGTTATTCATGTACTGTATTGTTATTCATGTACTGTATTGTTATTCATGTACTGTATTGTTATTCATGTACTGTATTGTTATTCATGTACTGTATTGTTATTCATGTACTGTATTGTTATTCATGTACTGTATTGTTATTCATGTACTGTATTGTTATTCATGTACTGTATTGTTATTCATGTACTGTATTGTTATTCATGTACTGTATTGTTATTCATGTACTGTATTGTTATTCATGTACTGTATTGTTATTCATGTACTGTATTGTTATTCATGTACTGTATTGTTATTCATGTACTGTATTGTTATTCATGTACTGTATTGTTATTCATGTACTGTATTGTTATTCATGTACTGTATTGTTATTCATGTACTGTATTGTTATTCATGTACTGTATTGTTATTCATGTACTGTATTGTTATTCATGTACTGTATTGTTATTCATGTACTGTATTGTTATTCATGTACTGTATTGTTATTCATGTACTGTATTGTTATTCATGTACTGTATTGTTATTCATGTACTGTATTGTTATTCATGTACTGTATTGTTATTCATGTACTGTATTGTTATTCATGTACTGTATTG